TCAAAAACTTACAGAAGGATTAATGAGGAACCAAATCTTTTAATCATTGTTCCCTAACATAAGAAAATTATATTTCTATTTTAATAATTAAGTTATCTTACTAGTTTGTTCTAACATTGTAAGATAAGAGCATTGGACACTATTTAAATATTCGATCTAATATATATAGCAAATTAGATATATTGCACAAGATAGTATTAGAGTTAAAAAAATTCATCAAAATGTACCTAATCATATGGACTTAAATCCTGGGAATTTCTCAAAGGAATTCTTTTCACATTCTGATTTAAATTATGTATCCGTGTCGGAGATATAAAAATTAAACCTTACATCGCCTAGAAGTATTGAGTTAAAAAGGTTATACTCAAGCATCATTTTATCCTTTGGAAAGGTAGCATGTAAGAAGTTTTGATTACATCCAATCATCTTTTATCTCACGAAGTATTTCTTGCTGAAGAAGTTAGTCCAAAGTTTGATTTCTAGAAATTTAATGAACCCAAAGCATAAATCTGTGGATTTATGATATTCATCAAAGGAGAAATATGAATATTAATAACAATTAAATACTTCGCTTCTGCACATTATGTAAAAAACGGACTGGGTATGAATTTTAACTTCCTGTACCGTAAAATTTTATAGAACTTAATCACGAATTTTATGATTCTTTTGATATGTTTAGATTTTTATGTTTTTCTTTCATAAATATCTGTTTATTATTTATATATATAAAATAGAATCTATACGAGTAGGAATAAATGTGAACGAATTATGATGATGTTTTGAGCAATATAGACATAAAATGTGTTGATTTCAGTTACCTACTGAACAAAAAAAGGATCAGTGGTTCTAATTAATACAGCTCAATATTAGTAAATTTCTTTATAACGTTCAATTTGTTATTTATTAATTTAAACGGATATTATATTTAATTGGTCGTAATAAAATAAATGTGCATGCATATCTCTCTTATCGACTTCCATTGTCATATTAGACAAACATTTCTTCATAAGGAAATCGGTAATCATTTTGAGTCGCAATGGCCAATTTTAGGTATTATGTAAATACTGTATTGTACATTTTAACCATTCAGTTTTCATTAAATATTAATTTTTAAGGATCTCAATGGTGTTATGACGTATATTCAAAACCATGGTACAGAATAAATATTTATAATTCTCATATTCTCAATTGTATCCGTTTTATTGCAATTATTGTACGCAAGAAAATAAATCAAAGAATCTCATAAGGTATAGATTAGAGGTTGGATTTTTTATTTCCGGATTTATTTATTTTCAAAAATTGGAATCGGGTTTAATCCGAATTTATTATATCCGGTTTCTTCGGATTCCATCCGGATTTATTATATCCGAATTTATTGTAACCGAAAAAGCCCTCAACTGCTAGAAGAGATATAGAACTTTCATAATGCTTTGCATGCAAATATTTAAATTTTTTTGCTTAACGAAAAAAAATCTTATGCATTAATCTGGTTATAACGATAAAAGATAATACATTTCTTTTCTTTTATTTAGGACACTTTTCAGGCTGCGATACATAAAAAAGTTTTTTAATAATTTTTTATATTTATTTTATTTTTATTTTTCATTAAATTTTGTTACTCATTTTTTTTAGGCGATTGAATCACTGCGGGCCGTAGCCATCGAAAGATCGCGCGGTATATATTTTTTTTTATTTTCAGTTTTCAATTTTTTAATTTACCTTTTTTTAATTTTTGTTCGATGTCTTTAAGCCGTACCATTAATATTCTTATAAAGATGTAATACTTGAACCGGAAGAAATTGTATAAAACTCGCAAAAATTTACAAGAATTAGAAATAAAAAAAAATCTTCACTCAAAGAGAACGACGATAATGAATTAGAAAATTTTTGGTGTTGAATAAACATCATCACTTGTTACGTCTACATAATTCATTAGCTAAGCATTTGTAAATAAATTCAAATTTTAGTTTAGTTTATAAAGATAATATAATAAATTAAAATTTACAAACGAAAATAATAATAATCATTATTATTTTCGTTTTGGGTTTCTAAATTAAGAATTTGCTCTTAAACGCAAACTTTTAGCCAATATAAATAAGTTGTTTTTAGTTAATTGTGACGCGCATTATATGTCTGGTCAAAAATAACTAGATTCGGGGGTTTAAATAAATCCGGATATGGATGTTTAAATATATAATAAATCCGGTTTTTCTGCTGGACAAATTTTGTATCTGATTTTAAATCTAAACAGGGGGGGAACCGGATTTAAATCCGAAGGTCGGCCAAACTCTAGTATAGATCATATCATCTTTCCTTAACAAATTCTGAAAGTTTGTTGGATCTTTTTGGATAAAATGAACAAAAAAAAATGACACTAAATTTAATAATATATAAATATATTACCTTATATAAACTTTTTACAATCCTTCTCGTAGATTTTAATTATTTAATACAATTTTATAATTTCATATCAAAATTTACTTGAATATAAATGCATGATCAATCATTCATTTAGTAAAATAATTACAACTGCAAAAAAGTGAAATATAATAATTGAAAAAAAAATTGGAAAATAAGTCGATATGTTTACGAGTATTATAAAGATACAGATATTAATTAATAGCATTCGCATGAAATTTTTTTTTTTTAAAAAATATTTGAATCTCATTTTGTATTTCAATCGAATGAAAATTACCATCTACATCATTTGAAAGGAACCATATCGGTTGAGTTGCAGTAAACACTTTTGGTACAAAATTAATTAATTGTGGGAATATTAAACTATTCATTATTAGCTTTTATGATGACATTTTCAGAGTTTCTTTCATTTCTAGCATTTATAAATCAAATAATATTACATATTTATTAGGATTAGAATAAGCCATCTAAAAGTATAAAATTTGATTCAACGTCCGATATTTCTCATTGAGGAAAAAATAATAGAATAAAATAAAATGATCATAAATTTTAACTCTATTTAAAAAATTTACATAAAGTTATTTTACTTCAACTCATGCAATGAGCTATTTTTTTGTAGAAATTTTCGTAACACAACCTAAATCAATAATTCATATTCACAACCAATATCAAATTATTATTTTCCCAAATCATTATTTATTTTCCAAATTTTCTTAGTGGTTTAGAATTCTCACTGTAATGATTCACCAACATTATTCAAAATTCAAAATTTTTGGAGTTACATCTTTATCATAAAATTGGGCTGAAGCACCCTCGAATTGAACGTTTCAGAACAATTCGAATGAACTTCCTTACAATTTACAATGAATATTGTTTAACCCTTGAATGTATAATATCGAATGTTTTTGGAAATCTCAGGAATAATCCGCTAAAGTATTGCGCTGAGAATAATATTAAGGTCCACTAAAGTAGTTATATTCCAATTACATATGTTTTCTAAAATACTACTTGATTTTGAGGATGATGTCGCAACAATGAAGGATGTTTATGATGATAACTGAAAGTTCTATTTAAAATTATTTCCATTCTATCATTCTCGTTCTAAAATCCCCAGGGCTATTCTTTGACAAATTAGGACCTATACTGCCAATACGCGCATGTTCCCAAAAAAATATCATGACAATACATTTATTATTAGTTGATGACAGGTTTTTAGTTCCTAAAATGCTGTGAAATTAATTATTCATTATTTCCATATGGATATACAGTAATTTATTTATTATAAATACATGCTTTAGTGAATCGAGCGAAACTATTTTCTCAAATCTGAAGCTTTCATTCAGTAAATATTCACAATATTTATACAAAGTTAATAATAATATAGCATCTTGTGACTTATTATCAAAATCAAGTTACAAGATATAGTAAATCATATATCCGTAGTGTATATCTAAGTTAGTATTTGCATCAGATTTATCATATGCCATCCTGCAATTTTTTATTAAAACACTTATTTATAGCAATTTTGTTCAAATTTAATTCTTCCAGTTTTAAGCCATCCAACGTTAGTTTTTTATTACATTAATAATATGGCATGTATGCTACTGTATAATTTCTCACAACCCTTTTTTCCTAGCAAACTTAATTTAACATATTTATATATGTATATAAAAATAATATGGAATTGGCCAATTGAAAAAGCGGACATTATTTAACATAAGTTAGTAGTTCAATAGTTCTAATAATTCCTTTTATTATAATCTTGCTGCGGAAGAATAATTTTAACATTTGTTTACAGTACAGTATTCATTTTCTGGAAGTACACTTACACAATACAATAGTTTTTTTAAAAATAAATCCTATAATTTTAGCACAGAATTTGTTTGATGAACATGATCTGCTTTGTAATTGTATCAGGTAACGTTACGAAGTGACGTTAACCAATACACACCGTACGAAATCCATAAAATGATTTAGTAAGAAAAATCCTTACATGTAGGTAAAAATTTTTATATATAAGAAATTTTATAATTAATTATTTTGGATAGAAATACTTTACTGCACTACATACAATAACTTCTGATTTCTTAAAACATTTTTTATGATCGCCGTAAATATTTCCTTATCCTCCCATATTAATTAAACAATGACATTAAAATGGAACGAAAAAAGGAATAATTAAATTTTTTTGAATTTATTTTAAAAATTTGCCTCATCAATTATTTACATTTACATTTTTAATCTTTTCTGCTAAAAAATTGATTAATAAAAAGTATAAATTGTTTAATTTATACTTCATTTTTTTAATAACCTATTTGCAATTTAAAATTGAAGCATTTACTCCTTCAGCACGATATTCTCATTCATCTGTCCTTGTTGAAGATAAATTATATTTTTTTTGCGGGATAAAAGATGATAGAACATGCACAAACGAAGTTTTCTATCTTGACCTTACTCAACAATTTAATACAGAGGTTCCGCAATGGACTGACCTTACAACAAATTCAGGAATAGATTTTCGGAGTTGTCGGGCAAGTATTGTATTTGACAATAAAAATACTATTTACCTAATTGGAGGAGTAATGGAAAATCAAGATAATGAAGACTCTTTTACCTCTCTGGTACATACATTTAATCCAAAATCAGAAAAATGGGATGTACCTAAGATTACAGGAAAGGAACCAAGTAAACGAGGATACATGCAAGCCGTTATCACTAATGATGGAATCATTTACTCCTTTGGTGGGCGTGATGGATTAATTTATTTTAACGACATGATATTATTGGATACCAATGAATTAAAATGGTCATATGGTTCCGTTATCAATGCACCTTCAATAATACATTCTTACACTGCGACATTATTATCTAGCGGTTTAATCGTATATATAGGTGGTCGAGAACATATCGATAATGAGCTAATAGATTTCAATCGAATTAATATATATGATACTAAATTAGCATCTTGGTCAGTGGTGGTAAGGCATACATAAAGTATTAAATGATTATTCTTGTTTTGTTTAAAAATTTAATTTTGTAAAATTAAAATCTCTTAAAGCAAGCGAAAAGTGACTTTTATATCGAATTTCGATCAGGTCATTCGGCTATTTTAGGTATATCTTATTTTTGTTGTTGTTTCTCACTTGACAAAAACTAAACTGATGATTATATTATTAAATAATATAAAGCTGCTGACGGAAAAATCATTATATATGGTGGGGTAAAAGTCACTACGGAATCTTATCTCGTTAACGCTTCGCCAGGTTTAGCTGTTTTGAATACATAAAAGTCTCCATTTGAATGGACAACACCACAAGTGTCTTCAAATATCGGTGAAATTCCATTACTTGTATATCATACAGCTCATTTGGTTGGAAATTACATGATTGTGACTTTTGGTAAAATATTTAAATTTTTTTCTGACCTTAATCCTGAATTTTTAATTCTAACGACAAACCAAATTATTGAATATATAGGTCGTCTTACTCAACCAAATCTATATCCAATAGTAATTGAATCAAAGATTTATTTATTAGATACCAGAAACTATACTTGGGTTAATGGATTTGAATCTTTAAGTGCGCATACTTCTCATCGAAAAGTAATAATATTTGGCACATTAAGCGGTATTTTAAGTGTCGCAATTTTTATGACTATTGGAATTTTTGTTTATAAATGGTATCAAAAAAAAAGAAATTCATGTGGAACTATTCCTAGTAATATTCCTGAAAATTTTTTGGAAATTCCTGGTAATTAAATATTATTGTAACTACGATATAATTATTGTAGATCTGATCACATCCATTACATAAAGATTTTTTTTAGCAATTATATTTACGGTTCTTAAAGTGATGTATCTCACATTCTTCGGTAAGATTGGTCTTAACCATATAATATGTACCACACATCAATTACATTTCTTTTATAATATAGATTGGTTGAAAAAATAAATAAAAAAATTTTTTGTGATCAACTTTTTCTATTAAATTTATAGTTATATCTGATAGTAATTATAAAATTATAATAAAAAAAGCAATAAAAACCAGTAAGCATAACTTGCCTATAAGGCTTTTTGATCCGTTTGTTGGTGTTAATAGCAGTTCATTTTTATTCGCTTCGACAACGGAAAGGAGAAGCAATATTTTGATATTGAGGTTGGTTTTACTGTAATCTTTTTAAAAGAAAAATATTAAAATATCATCTACTGTCATTTTATGCTTACATTAATAATGATGTTTCGATGGTATAAATATATATCATAATTTTATATTACAGTAATATGAATTAATATATTTATAATTGTTAGAAGGAAAAGCGAGCAGAACTTTATTGCAATAATAAAAATCAATTAAACAATAAAGGGAGGGTTGTCTGATTATGTGATAGGATATAATTTTGTTTTATGTTAAAAAGTCATGAGATTACACAGAATACATATATAAAAGTCTCAACATAAAATACGATAAGAGAAAAAAGACAAAGAAATAATCCTTATTATTGTCATGAATTTTTTATTACTCAAAAGTTTTTATTATATTATTATTATTATTATAACTTTTTACCCTAAAAAATAAAGTAAATTGACATTTCAGACCTTTATGAGCTCCTCGGACTGATGGAATATATATGTAAAATTGACCATTTAGGATCAATTAAATTGTATATTATTCATTCAGCCGCAACCATATTGATATTTTTAGGGAATTCTGTAAAATAGCCATGGGAAGGAAAATTGTTATAAAAATGCTTCGATAGGATTAAATTAGCATTGACTTCTTCTCTTTAGGCCTATTACAGAGCGCCGGCAGAGGCAGTAATAGTTGAAATTCTTGAATTCTAATGATAAAATCCTTTCAATTTCATAATTAATCAATTACGATCGTTATAATTAATTGATCTATATACTATATTTCGCTTTAATTCGCCTTAACACAATTAATGATTTCGAATATTTAATAAAATTAATAAATCACCGATGTATCGATCTCAATAAGGAATTACTGTTACACCGATCATTCATATGATCAGTGGCTTAGAAATTTGAAACGTTGCATGATCTACCGATCGCATTTTTTTTTAAAAAAAATTTTTATCATTTCTCTCGCTTAAAATATTCCAATTAATAAATAATCAATATGCAAACTGCCAATAATACAAATGAATGGATTGAAGAATATATTTCAGATAAAGATATCAAATACTACGAATACAAACATTTTATCAATTTTCAAGAGATTGGTATAGGCGGCTTTGGAAAAGTCTATCGTGCAAATTGGAAAAATTCAAAGCAATATCGTGCGTTAAAATCATTTCATAGCATTAACAATGACACTGTTAAAGAACTTGTTCGTGAGGTAATTACAAAATGCAATATTGTAAATCAGTCTATTTAGTATATATATCAAACTTAAATATATATTTGTAACAATTAGCTCGAACTCCATCGTAGAGTTAATGATCATAGTAATATTATTCGCTTTTATGGAATAACTTCAAAACAAAGTAAATGTTCATGAAAAAGTTTTTTAAATATTTATATTGACATTGATATTGATATTTTTAATTTTAATCTAATTTATTTATTTTTAAAAATTAGAAAAACAAAATGATCAATTGAAAAAGTATTTGTTAGTGATGGAATATGCCGATGGCGGTGCACTTAGAAACTATTTGAAAGAAAATTTTGATAAACTTTCTTGGGATGATAAACAAAAATTTGCATACCAGTTGGCTAGTGCAGTATCATATTTACATGAAGAAGGAATTGTGCATCGTGATTTGGTTGGTAATTTTACATTTTATACGTTTGATTTCAATACTTTTAATAATAAATTTTTAAATTTTTTTATATAATTTTTAGCATTCCAATAATATATTAATTCATCAACATGTTATTAAACTAGCAGATTTTGGATTATCAAAAAGAATTGAAGAAGCAACTAAAAATTATTCAGAAGTATTTGGATTACTTCCTTATGTAGATCCGAAAAGATTTGAGGAACAGAGGAAAAATGACAATACATTGCAACCATTTACGTTAAATGAAAAAAGTGATGTTTACAGCGTTGGCGTGCTGTTATGGGAGATATCAAGTGGTAGACCACCTTTTTATGTTAAAGGTGAAGAATATGGCGTTAGTTTAGCTATAAACATTTTACAAGGACTCAGAGAAAGTGTCATTCCTGGTAGTCCTGAATCTTATGTAAACATTTATACAGGTAAATATATTATAATATATTAAATAAATAATGTTCTTAATCATTAAATCGAATTTATTATATTATTTTAGAGTGTTGGGATGGCGAGCCAGAAAATCGTCCGTCTATGAACAAAGTAGTTGATGCATTAAATGCAATCCTTACAAAAACAAATATATTAGAAAATGATCGAATGTATGAAGAATCAAACATTGAACAATCTTGTTATTCATCTGAATTGGCTTACAACTTTATTTTGAATAAGTTGAATGTAGTAAAATCGAATAATGAAACTGATGGGGAATTATCTCAAAATATAAATTTGAATCAGTTAAATATAGATTCATTAGCATCGAATAATGAAACACATGAGAAATTATCTCAAAATATACATTTGAATCAGTTGAATGTAGTAGAAGAATTAGAATCGAATATTAAAACTAAAGTCATTATATACGATGATACTATTGATAGTTTAAATATTACAGAAGATAATAAGAATATATTATACACCTTAGGAGGATTACAAAGATTTAGAAAGTTACAAGTACTTGACTGTAGTAATACTGAAATAACCAGTCTACCAACTTTACCAAACTCCTTAACAGAACTCTATTGCTATAATACTCAAATAACCAGCCTACCAACTTTACCAAACTCATTAATTAAACTCAATTGCGATGATACTCCAATAATCAGCCTACCAACTTTACCAAACTCCTTAACGGAACTATATTGCAATAATACTCAAATAAGCAGCCTACCAACTTTACCAAACTCTTTAGAAACCCTCTTGTGTTATGATACACAAATAAATAGTTTGCCAAATTTACCTGATTCCTTAACGTATATTAATCCAGAATCTTTGAAAAAAAAAACTAATGTGTTTAAGTCGATTAAAAATTTTATCAGTTTCAAATAATAACATATTAAAGCATTGTTATTTATGCTATTTAGCTAAACTTTTACAAAAATATTTTTTCATATAAAACATACATTCAAAGAAACCTATTTTAGGTGATTTAATTTAGTCGAAAATAAAATATTGAATAAAATTAATTGTTATTATTATAAAGTTACCTTAAAAACTAATCTAATATAGTATGTGGCACTTTGACAACAATGTTTGGTTATTTACTAATTCTAATGTTTTTATATCCGGTGGAATATTTATTCAATAAATTTCCTCGAAAGCATTATCTTAAAATCAATATATCGAACAACTCATACCAGGTCGTGGAAATGCCAAAAATTAATTGCTACAAATATATTATTATACCATAATAATAAATTTTACGAGAGAATAATGTCCACAAAATACACGCTAAGTTAATTATTAATTCTTTTTTTTTTTTTATGCAAAAATAAATTTTTATTTAAAGATTAATTAAATATCATTGATCAATAGATTTCTTAATTTAGCAATTGAAATTTTTCGGATCAATTATTTTTTATAATCATGAACCGTTAAATTTAGAATTGCTTTCGTTTATATTATAGATCCTGCAAAAATAATAACGATAGTGCTCTTTTATATGTTTAGGATACATAATTTGTTTATAAATATTCTTAAGATGTTTCGTCAAATTTTTATGATGATTTAGACTTTGTATTGACAAACCACATGCCACATGAATTTGAAAATAACGTACTTTCTCTCCTGAAACACATTTTTCTTGGGTTTAAAAGTCACAGCATTAATTTAATTGCTTTCCAAACATATCATAACTAGATGGCAATTAAAATTTGATATAATAAATTTGCTTTTTATTTCGATATTTCGTGCGATTTAATTCTAAATCGAAGCATTACTTTAAGATAACGGTAATGTTCATATTAAATTTGCTCATACTTGTGACAATAAATTTTTAATATAATAATAAAAAAAAATAAGTAGAAATTCATAAATGAAAAGGTCTCTATATTTGAAATATTTAAATTGTTTGCAAATTAAGTAATTTTTTTTTAAGATTCAAGATTCCTCAAAATAGAGGTTGGAATCGAATTAAATTAATCGAAAATCGAGTAAACTTTGAATCTATTTTAAATAGCGCATAAAGAAAAAATTAAGCGTAAATTAACGTTTTCTTATTGAGAAAAAAAAATATATAATAATATTTTTTTTTTTTTTAATAAAAATAGTTTGTATCGCTTAATCAATAATAAAAATAGGCTTACATTATATAAAAACGATGCACAAAATTATATCATACATTAAACTGCATATAATAAACTATATTTAAGTCAAATCAAAGGTTTTAACCTAAACTAACCAAACTAATCAGATAACATCCCTAATGATAACTTCATCTTATTTATAGATTTTAGTTGCATATTTCAAAATCAAAATATTTAACACGTGCCAATGGGATGTTCAGTTCAACTAATTAAATCAAAACTATTAGTGTATCATATAAATTTTACAATCAAATTTTTTTATATATTAAGCTATTTAATAATATGATATAAAACTTTCTTATAATAAATTTCAAATCGCTAAATTTTTACATTTCCATAATTCGAATTCTAATTCTCTTTTGTGTTCCAAATTTTGTATAAATTTCGTGTAATTTCCCAAAAAGAAATACGAATGAATATTATAACAATTACTCTATAGAAGAAAATATATTTTGCTAGTTTTTTTTATAAATAGGCTCTATACTGGTATCCTGAGCTCATTTAATTAATTGGTATTGCATAAAAACTAATAAAGCATAATTTATCGAATTTTAGAATTTCGTATAAAGGCCCCTGGTATTTTATTTATTATACTATAGTAAATATTTATATGATACCATATATAGTTTGATTTAATTAGTACCCCGATAAAACAAAGTAAATTGTATAACGATAACACTTTAGCCTCAAAAAAAAAGTTCATTTTAATTTTTAGACTTTTTTGGTTAGTGGGTTAAAAATCTCCGGATCTACCATAGCACTAAAAATTTTTACATCATATCTGTAACATAGCAAATCACTAATATAGTGACCTCCAAAAAATTAGAACGATGTTCTAGAGTTATATCGTTAAGTGATTTGTATGCCCTTTTGATAAATTTGAGATAAATAAATTACCGGTTATACTCCGCGATGAACTTAAAGAAATTATTCACTTTTATATCAAAAAAAATAATTTATTTTTTTTTTACTCTTTTTTACAAAGAAATATCATATTTTAACTCAATGGCAACGAAAAAAAAATTTTTTTTATTACAACGTCGTTTAAATAAGTTTTACGAAAATTAAAAATGTTTGGTATTTCAATAATTTTAATAATTTTGAAGTGTCCAAAGAAATCATTATTAAAATTTTGATTGATTTGATATTTACAATATGGCACAAATTTCTATAAAAAAATATAAAATAATAAGATCATCTAATCTTAATCTAGGTAAACGGAAACTTTTAAAGTTCGTCGCTAATTACTGTATTCAATTTTATTTTTCGGTGATTAACGCAAAAACATCTATTACAAATAACTAGAAACTTCCATTAAGATCATACTTGTTTAAATGGCTAAAATTTTAGGACAGCCACTACAATAACGATTCGATTATCAAATTTGTGAAACAAAAATCGTATCACGGTTTTGTTGTTTGTTTATTGACGTAACGTTTATAACTTTTTTTTTAAAAAAATTCATAAAAAAGCAATCGATAACAATCAAATAATTTGTAATATTATTGTAAATCAATTATTATAACGACTTTCTTTTTATTCACGACTTTGTGTTTCTAATTACACACATTATAAACCTTGTATTTTTCACTGTTTAAGACCATATACCTTTGCACTATTATGATGATTAGGGTTGAATTAAATTATGAAAATTATCTTTGTCTTATTACTAAAATATTAATATGATATAATACATCTTCAAATATACAATTAATTTTAGAGTTAATATAAGTCATGAGAGAATCGCGATTTATAAGTTTAAATTTTATTTATTAAAGATCAGGATATGCTGTAAATGATCAAGATTCCATAATATAATATCAAATATATTTTTCTTTATTAAACGTAAATAAAATCAAAAGTGAAATTATTGGTATTTTGCAGCTTCGCTTAGCGGGAAAGATTCTCTATACCTAAACAAGTAAATTTGAGATTATTTATTAGCATTAGTATTAATGTAGTAGCAAATTGTAATATAACGCGACAATATATTAATTTATATAAAACAACAGAAATTTTATCGCCTTTATAAAATATTTAACCGTGTAGCGGCGTTCACGATATGCTGTTTATTGGGATTGCCTATTTAGGACTGATGATTTTGCACGTAATTACATACGTCATACGTCGACAATATCAACCATTTGATAGGTCCTAATAGATGCAAAATTGATCGTTTTGTGTAACGAGAAAAACTGCAACGCTGTTTCGCTCCATCAATATTTACATAAATAAATGAACAAAATTGTTGAAACAATACCTCAATTTCAACCGATTTATCATTCACATTGAAACGTACTTTATTTTGTATGGCGAAATTAAAGTTTATTCAACTCTTTTTGTCCATCACTAATGATTTATCGTTACTTAACTTGTACCAGCATTATGAACTTTAACTAATTTCAGCCAGATAAAATATTAGTGTGTTTCGTCATTCGAGCATAAATAAAGTCCTCTTTATCTTACCTTGTAAATTAATCGATTCCGATAAAAATTAATGTTTATTTTATTGAGCCCGAGACATTATCCTCCATAGATAAAGGCCCAAAGATAAGAAAACGTAAAGATATGAATAGACATAAACTCATAATATACTCATGGCAAATACAATAAGCTGGTGGAAAAAGCTTTCTGCGGACGAAAGACGAAGTTGCAATGGCAGTATCAAATAGATCGATATCAAAAATTAGCCAATGCGCGTGTAAATCATACCGCAATAAAGACAAAGAAAAAATCGACTGATGTTGTTGATAAACCAGTAACAGAATCCAAGTGACAATGTCAATAAAATTTTATTCGGGGTTCTTTTTGACTAAATTACAATAAAAATCAAATTTTATTAAAAAATTCTCAGAACCACATTTATCTAGCAAACCAAACATTTCATTGTAATAAGAATAAAAAGAGTAAAATAAAAAAAATTTTTTTTATGTTTATATGAATTTAACGTTAGTAATAATTCTTTTTAAGTTCATCCGGAAGATAACCGGTGATTTATTTATCACAAATTTATCAAAAGGGCGTAAAAATCACATACCGATAAGCCCTACTAATTTTTAGACGATAAAATCTGTATTTCTTTTTTATTTACCGTGCATTATAATTAAATAATTTTTTAGAGAATTTAACATAAAAAAATTTTTATATATACATTATATATGATCTAACCAAAAAAAAGCCAAAAAAAGCCAAAAAAAGTCTACTAATGTATACATAAAATAAACTATTTCTGAATGTGAAGACTTTTGTATGGCAGCTGAACTAAAGTTTATTCAACGCTTTTTTGAGACAATACTCTATCTCAAATACAACTTTAAATTTTTTATAAATGTGGCGAAATTCGAATTACCGTCATTCGGGAATAAAAAATAAAGTCCTTTCTTTATCTTACGTAAATTTATCGATTCCGAAAAATTAATGTTCTACTTTTTTGAACCCGAGACATTATCTTCCAATGATAAGGGCCCAAAGAGGAGAAAACCCAACATGTTTATAATGTATCGTAAAGATATGATGAAACACAAACCTCATAATATGCCAATGACAAAATACAGCAAGCTAGTATCAGAATGGTGGAAAAAGCTTTCTGCGGACGAAAAAGCGAAATTGCAAAGGCAATATCAAATAGATCGTGATCAAAAATTACAAAAAGTCGTCAGTGCACGTGATATAGCCGAGACGAGAGAAGAAATCGAATGTGAAAATTCGAGATATCAAGATGAAGCCAATATTTTACCTAAGGGAATGAAAAAAGATTGTTATTTCACCGAAAGTCCTACGGAAAATTTTGAAATATAAAAGATTTTATTCAACGTATTTTATTCTAATAAATTTTTTTATTCGTAGTTTTATTTTCTTTTATTCGAGCCATTATTGTTTCCCTTTTACTCAACTCAAATGAAATTTTCAGATATGTCAGTAAAATGTTTACTCGAAAACACTGTATTTTTTTTTAATTCTCGTCAAAAAATATTTTCTTGAAATCGAACAAATCGAAATTATAATATATATATCGTAACATTTATTTTCCTATCGCAATTTGTTTATTTATTTTTCTATCGAAACACTTTCATTATTCGCTTTTTACTTTTTTTACAAAGTTTATTCTCATATGTTCAAAGACAAAAATCTATTATTTAATCTGAATATTATTTATATTATTTACAAATATTTAAGTTAAGGTTTTATGATTATATCTTTTGCCGCTAATTAATTTTTGAATGGATTATATTTATTTAAATCAGTTGATAAAATTTATAATAAATTTATGTGATTCCATGATTAGTAATTTTTTATAAATTTTCCAATTTTTATTTTAATGAACATTTCAAGTATAAAAAATCTTTGTCCCAGATCAAAGAATATTAATTCTCAAATTTTAATTTGGGAGAATTCTAACGAACTAATTCCCTTTAAGAAAAATTATGATACAGAGATGAATAAAAAATTTTTTTAGCATTCTATATGACGGATGAAATCTACAAAATTAAAAATTCATTTTTATTTTGAAAAAATTGGCTTCAAAATATTTGGGCTTAATCTATTACGATATGTTTATAGGATAAATACGCCATGTTTAGTGACACCTTCACAAATGTCATACTTCATATACTTAACGTTACTATCAACATGCTCTTTTTTTGCTCTGGACAATTAAGTAAATAATGTTGTGTTGTGTAATTTTAATCCGAAAATTTCTGATTGGATATTTTTTAATTCATGCAGCTGCATAGATGATTAGGCTAATGTAATCATATAATTATAAATTATTTTTATTGTTGTATTTATTATAAAAATAAAAATGTAATAATTAGCGACGGACTTTATACATGTAGTTTCCATTTAATATTGGGTGATCTTTTTTTTATTTTATTTTTTTTATAGAATTTGTGTTCTCATAATAACGCATGCAAATAATGGTCAAGATCATATTAAATAATGACTAACCAATAAATAAAATAGACAATTTTTCTGAATTATTTTGGCGCGTTTTTTTAGACAATTTCCCATTTAACTTTAATATCAACGAGCAAAGTTTTTATATAATTTCGATTTATTGTCAATCGACATAAAAAATAAAGTCATAATCCATATATTATAAATTATAATTTATGTTCTAATTTATTGAACCCGAGACATAATCTTTCAATGATAAAGGCCCAAAGAGGTGAAAACCGAAGATATTAATAATGATTCGTAATGGTCAGAAATTTTAACGTAGAGAAATCGTACAGAAAAAAAATTTGAAATTTGAAATATATAAAAATTGTGCTGAAATTGTATTAAAAATTAAAACATACAGATTTTGTATAGTTTAGTATTTTATCAACGTATGGAAAATTTAATATTACTGGAAGTGGGTAAATTAAATTAATTAATTTTTTACAAAAACTGCAAATAATAACAAACTGAGCTTTAAAACCTTTCTTGGCGTTAAAAGTAAACTTGCAGAGCAGACAAAAATGATAATAAATTTAAGCTAGGAAATAATCATACAAAAACTATATCGATTAGTACAGTTGATTTTTCTAATTCAGATGTTGTAGGAAAAATGTGCTAAAAATTTGAACGTACAGTTATTTCATGTTTTGGCATCCTTGCACTGTCCGAAAATTGTAGTGTTTTTTTTTTGGTACAAAAGTTACACAAAAACTGTATGGGATCTTTTCATAGGTTGAACTGTTAAACATAAACAGGTCAGCATTTACAAAACCTAAACCCGACCCAACCCGTCTATAGTCTAACTCGGAACAACCCGAGTGTTACGAAAGAATGCCGAGAAATGAATTTAGATAGAGTATTCTATTCTACCGGGTAATTTTTATAAAATTTATTATCGTGCTCCACCATATGATGTCGTCGATCTTAAATTTAGTTATTTTTATAAAAATAATAAAATAAACTATTATTTAAACAATAATTAGTCAAAAAAAGTAAATTTACATATATAAATTTTTAATAATTAAAATAAACTTTATTTAAAGCATTTATAGTAATAAGTGATATAAAATTGCAATACAAATAATCACATTAATCTAAATATATTATTTATTAGAATTAGTGTTAAAAATGACAACTGAATTGATAAAAACTTTATCAGATGTTAAGGTCGAAATCATGTCTTTCAAATTTTGGTTTTGATTTTCTTGAACTTTATTTAATTCTTGCAATGGATTTCAAGTAACTTCATTAATTGGATTAATAATTTCGTTTTTGTCTAAATAAAATTATTAAATAGGTTAAATAAATATAAAATGCAATTGTAAATACCCCCGAAATGGTATAGGTAAATCCAATCCTAATAAGGAAAAGTTTAATTTACTGTAATTAACAAGTTTTCTAATAAAAAATTTCGTGCTTGCCTATTTTATTCTTATTATTTTTGTTAAATCCAAATGCTTCAGCAATATTTGCAGCATTATTATGTTGAATTTCAATGCCTGAACGTTCATAACTAGCAAGTCCTTGTTCTGTTTTATGTCTTGTACTTACCATACATTCAGAAATTGAAAATCCACGGCGTTTCAATATTTGTACTAGTGTCTTACGACCAGAATGGTTGCTAATTTTACGATCATCCATGTCCAACCCAGTTAAAGTAATAATATTTTTCATGAATTTTTTAATTTCTTTTTCAGATACATGTTTTTTATGATACCATTGTCTATTAAAGTCAACTGTAAAAATATAAAATACTAAAATATTAGCATTAGATTCAAATTAAAATGTTAAAATTCTTAATTTATACAATACCTTCATTAATATTACACGGTTTTAAATAAAAATGTGAATCAGCTTGAGTTGGCAGTTTAGTAAAGTAATATTCATATGTTTCAGTGATGCCAGAAATTTCAGGAATTTATAATTTATCACCTTGAGAATCAATATTATTAGCACCATGTTGATTGGTCTTTGATTTAACATCAAATTGCTTATATTTGTCTTTCCTGCGTATGAAACTATTAAATTGCAAATTAAAATGTTTACCACCTCTTAATCCTAAGAGGATGGCATTGAAAAAAAAAATCCGATACAATAAACTTGTAGGATTTTTGCCAGACATTGTTGGGTGATCGATACTCATAAGAAGTTCTTCTTCAGTAAAACCCTCAGATCCATTACGTTCTCCAAGCCCTTGATTTGCAAGATTTTTGACCTTACCATTAAAAACTTGCCATAATCTATAAAACTTTTCTTTATCCATAATGTTAATAGGCTTTTGAAGAACAGCAAGGATGATATTTATGTTATAATTGCAAATTAATAAAAATAATGATTCGATAAATAGTTTTTTCATCATGGGCTGCTGTTATGTATGATGATAAAGTGTGATAAAGTTCTTATCAAATAATTTTAATATTTTTATAAAAAAAAATGAATAATCCTTATTTGATTACGGTAATGGTCAGTATATGCAAATTTGACTGTGCAATATGTTTTTTTGATAGATTGGAACATAGTCAATCATATGATCCATAAGGTGATGTTAATAGCCATCCATATACATAATAGGTTCCGACACACAGATCATCAGAAAATTTCAATCAAAGCATTGTATTTGGAAATGACAAATTGAAACAATTCTACAAAATCAAATCGAATAAAAAAAGATCGAATCTATTTAAGTGCGCAGTATTTGCGGCATTATAGCAAGTTCTTCAACCATTTATTTAAAGGAAAAAACAAATAAAGTAACCTGAAATTCACAAGAGGAATCTTATAAAAAAACGACTAGCGATCCACAAATTTTTTAAAAACACTTATATGTTGTGTCTCAAGATCATCAGTAATGCTGCCCAGATATTTTAAAAATGGGCCGGTAATTTAAGGCAGTGGCAAATCGACACCTGACGCACTACATATCATACATTTTTTTTTCAGTTACACCGATCATTCATATGACTAGTGGCTTAGAAGATCTACCGAACGCATTTTTTTTTCTCAAAAAAAATTTTATCGCTAAATATCAATTAGAAAATATGCAAACTTCCAATAATTCAAATGAATGGATTGAAGAATATGTTTCAAGCAAAGATATCAAATGCTACGAATACAAACATTTT